CCCCCCCTCCGACCACTTCGAGAACCGCCAGACTTCATAAGATTATCACGTCTGTTTCTCGGGGATTTCTTCCCGTTTTCGATATTCCTCGAGACGGAAAATTCTCTTAGGTTGCCCGGAGGCCATGCGAGGATTTTATTTTCTTGTTATTTATTGTTATTGTTGTTATTGTTATTATTATTATTATTTCTCTTGTTATTATTATTTTTTATTGTTATTATCATTATCATTGTTTTTATTATTATTATTATTATTATTATTATTATTATTATTATTATTATCATTATTATTATTGTTATTATTATTATTATTGTTGTTGTTGTTGTTGTTGTTATTGTTATTATTATTATTATCATTATTATTGTTGTTATTATCATCATTATTGTTATTGTTGTCATTACTGTTGTCATCGTCATTATATCATTATTATTGTTACTATCATTATCATAGTCGTTATCATTATCATTATCATTCTTTCTTTCTTTAAGATTTTTCGTCTTTCTTCCTTTTTAACTTAAAAAATAGACATATATATAGAGAGAGAAAGAGAAAGAGATCGAGATCGAGAGAGAAAGTCAGAGAGTCAGATAGACAATAATAATCTCAATCATCTTTATCCTTATCATCCCCCTAACCCCCTCCCTCTCCCCCCTCCAGACCGGGCCTTCGTAGTGGCAAACGCCCAACATGACTGCGGTGTCATATTCGTCAACGAGGGCTTTTGTCGCATGTCTGGCTTCTCGCGGGCGGATGTCATGCAGAGGCCATGCACTTGTGACTTCCTGCACGGTGCCATGACCTCGAGTTTGGCCGTGCAACAGCTCATGGATGCAATGGCGACCGCGCAGGAAAGGACAGTCGAGATTCTTTACTACAAGAAAGATGGTGAGTAAAATTATTTGAGTTTTTTGTTTTTTGTTTTTTGTTTTCCTTTTTTCTTTTTCAGATTGTTGGGTTTTTTTCTTACTACAAGAAAGATGGTGAGTAAAAATGTATTCGAGTTTTTTTTTTTTTTTGGTTTTGTTTTTTGTTTTCCTTTTTTCTTTCTCAAATTGTTGTTTTTTTCTTACTACAAGAAAGATGGTGAGTAAAAGTATTCGTTTTTTTTCTTTCTTTTTTCTTTTTTCTTTTTCAAATTGTTGTTTTTTTTCTTACTACAAGAAAGATGGTGAGTATTCGAGTTTTTTTTTTTCCTTTTTTCTTTTTTCTTTTTCAAATTGTTTTTTTTTTTTTACTACAAGAAAGATGGTGAGTAAAAGTATTCGAGTTTTCCTTTTTTTTTTCAAAAGTCGGGTTGGTTCAATTTTTATTATTATTATTATTATTAATATTATTCTGATTTAATGGGGAGTTAAAGTGTTTTTTTTTTCTCTTTTTTTTTAATTTTGGATGGTTAAGTCAAAGTGTTGAGTTTTTATCTTTTTTTTTCAAAATTCTGGTTGGTTGTTTTGTCTGGTTAGATTTGAATATGTATGTTTCTTTCTTTATCTGTCTCTCTCTCTCTCTCTCTTTCTCTCTCTTTCTCTCCTTCCAACCCTCCCTCTTGTGTAACATCCAAACAGCCACTGAATATTATCTAACATATTACGATATCAGAGCCACACACTCTCTCTTTCTCTATCTATCTGTCTATCTCTCCCTCTCTCTCTCTGTCTTTCTATCTCTCTATCTATCTGTCTATCCATTTCTTCCTCCCTTCCTCACCCCCTCTCTCGTGTCTACCATCCAAACAGCTATCTTTCTCTCTATCGTTCTCTCTCTCCTTCCATCCCGCATTAGTGTCTAACACTCAGACACTGAATATTATCTAACACATTACGATATCAGAGCCTCTCTCTCTCTCTCTCTCTCTCTCTCTCT